AAACACATTACTTGTATTAGCAAATGGATTGAATTGGAAAAAAGATTGCAAAAGAATTAAACAATTGATAAAGGTGTTCAAGAACAAATCAATAGGGAGAGAGAACATTGGAAAAATGTGTTACTAAGGATAATTGTTGTTGTGGGAACTCTTGCTAAAAATAATTTAGCGTTTGTGGAGACAATGAGAGATTTATCACGTCATGTGCTCATTGCTAGTTTCATGACTTCTAAGCCTGTGACCTAGATTCTTCCAATCTTTAAATCCATTAGTAGCCAACTGAGTCTTGTTCCCATCTTCCTTAAACAACTTACAACAAAAGCAAAATACTTTGTTTGAAGCATCTGAATATACTAGCCATTTCTTATCTTGCTTCTCTTCATTTGATAAATTTTGAATGTAATATGTAGAGGAGAAATGTCTATCCTTGTCATCTCTAGGAAAATTGACAATATTACTTCTTATAGGACCACTTTCAACTAATAAATCTCTGAAATTCTGATCAATCTTGTCCCAATTACTTGGGTCATTAATATTTAAAGGTCCATATTCAACATTAAAATCTTCACTTTCAATGGTTTCCTCATTCACCAAATCTTCATTTTCATTCTCATTCAAACATTCAATAGGCTCTTCAACACCCAAATCTTCATTATCATTCTCATTACATTGATTAAGTTCTTCAATTACCAAATTTTTATCAACCAAACATGAACTTTCTATTTGTTTCTTGCTACCAAAAAATTTATCAAGCGCTCCCGATTGAGATTTAATAAAATTTTTTAATTTTTGCTTCTTTTTCCTTTTTTCATATCCAGAAATATACTTCCTAGGAGGCATGACTATTCTATATAATCACAAATCCACACAAATTCACAATCACTGATCGCTGCAAATAATATACTTTCATAATTAGAGCATATCAAAAATTATAGACTTCCACTAAAGCACATAAATTAGGTAATTTTCTAATTTAAAGAACAAATTATATAGGGCAAGAAATTAGGGGAAAAATCAGGGCAAGAAATTAGGGAAAAAAATTAGGGCAAAAACTTCCTCCATTTAAATGTGATATATCTATAGAGAGAAAGAAAGACTTACGATTTTGATGTCCAAAATCGTTAATGCTCAGCAGTGTCCGTCAAATATGGAGGAGAGGAGAGGACTGAAGGTGGATCACATGGTTTCATCAGTCCAATGCAAGAGAGAGATCGGTCCAATATGAAAGAGAGAGATGTGTTTCTTTCAATGTTTCTTTTAGTGAGAGTGACCCACGTGAATTCATTCTTCTCAGCCTCAGGGTAGGTATTATGACGTGCTTCTTGTTTTTGGGCCCATGTTGAATTGGGCCTCTATTATGATATGTTTTTTTTTTTTTTTTGGCCCCATGTTCAATTTGGCTTATAATATTTGGATTTTTTTTTTTAATATCTAAAACACAAAATCATATTTTGGGGCCCTATTTTTAGGGCAAATCTGAGGGCCCAAGGCGCATGCCTCTTTAGCCTTCCCTCAGGGCCGGGCCTGCCCATAATCTCCCCCTCTACAAAACTTGGGTACCCCTTGGAGCCTACCCTAAGTTCCAAACTCAAGTCTTATAAACCTACACAAAGTTTGCCCACCAAATCAATGTGGGACAAGCCTTAAGCCAAACCTTTAGGAAATTTCACCAAAAACACCATTTTCATGGAGCTCTCTTTGGCTTCAATTTCCCATTCACCCAGTTAGAATGTAAAATAAAGAAATTAGTAAGGAGTCACCAGTTGCTTGCAGAGTAAGAGTTCACGAATAAAATGACAATCAACTTCGATATGTTTGGTGCGTTCATGAAACACAGGATTATTGGCAATGATGATAGCAGCCTGATTGTCACAAAACATGCTCATAGGAGTGGAAATACAAAAGCCAAAATCTTGGAGAAGAGATTGAACCCAGAGCATCTCAGAAGCAGTATAAGCCATGGCACGATATTCAGCCTCGGCACTAGAACGAGCAACGACAGTCTGTTTCTTACTACGTCAAGTGACAAGATTACCACCAACAAAAGTACAATAGCTCGAGGTGGAACAGCGGTCAGTCTTGTTACCAGCCCAATCAGCATCACTGAAGCTAGTGACAGACAAAGAGGAAGATGGGCGATAGAGCAACCCCTGACCTGGAGCACGCTTTAAGTATTGCAAGATACGACACAAAGCCACAAAATGGGGTTGGTGGGGAGCATGCATAAACTGACTGACCACGCCCACGGCATAGGTAATATCTGGACGAGTGACAGTGAGATATATTAACTTGCCAACCAACCGACGATAACGACCAATATCAGGAAAGAATTCGCCAGTGTCACCATCAAGCTTGACGCTAGAATCCACGGGAGTATCATTGGGGCGAGAGCCTAAGAGGCCAGTCTCGGTAAGAAGATCAAGAACATACTTCTGTTGAGAAAGAAACAAGCCCTGAGAAAGAGTAAGCAACTTCAATCCCAAGAAAATACCGAAGATGGCCCAAGTCTTTGGTGTGAAATTGTTGTCCCAAATAATGCTTCAAAGCAGCAATACCATTGAAGTCACTCCCTGAAATGATGATGTCATCCACATAAACAATAAGAACAATACGCCCAGTAGATAAGTGGCGAACAAAAACAGAGTGATCAAAGGTGGAATGGTGAAATCCATAGGCAAGCACAACAGCACTGAAGCTATCAAACCAGGCACGTGGAGATTGCTTAAGACCATACAAGGCCTTCCGCAATCGACAAACAAGATGCTCTTTGCTGGGAACAACATAGCCAGGGGGCTGATCCATATAGACCTCCTCGTGGAGATCACCATGGAGAAAGGCATTCTTGATATCCAATTGATATAAAGGCCAAGACTGATTAACTGCAACAGAGAGGAGAATCCGAACAGAGTTAAGACGGGCCACAGGAGAAAAGGTCTCCAAGTAATCAACATCATAGGTTTGGGTGTAGCCTTTAGCTACCAGGCGAGCCTTAAGTCGCTCACAGTTCCATCAGGAAGATACTTAACAGTATAAATCCAACGACAACCCACAATAGATTTGCCAGATGGCAAAGGGGTAAGGTCCCAATTCTGATTTTGATAAAGAGCATGCATTTCCTCATCTATGGCAGACTTCCAACTAGAGATGGACATAGCCTCTAGATAGGTGCGAAGAATGGAAATACTAGACAAGTTACAAGCAAAAGAGTGAAGACTAGGAGAGAGGTGATCATAAGAAATGAAATCAACAATAGGATGTTGAGTGCAAGTGCGTTTACCTTTGCGGAGTGCAATAAGAAGGTCATCAAATGGTAGAGCAGTAGGTGGAACAGGGGCCTCAGGCGAAGGAGATGAACTGGTCGGGCCATAAGACACAATGTGACGAGCTTGAGACCGTTGATAAACCTGTAAAGGAGGGGTAGAAGTGAGAGAAGATGGAGATGATATAAGAGTGGATGTGGAAGGAGCATAAGATGGAAGAGTAGGAGTGAGAGAGGCTGACTCCCCCTCACGAGAAGAGAGAAGATCAGTAGATAACTGTTGCCCAGAGGAAGAAAAAAACGGAGTAGACTAAAAAAAAGTTACATCAGCACTGACAAAGTAGCGACGAGACTCAGGATGATAACACCGATACCCTTTTTGAGTGCGAGAATAATCTAAGAACACACACTTGCTTGCACGAGGAGATAACTTATCCAACCCAAGGTCAAGAACATGGACAAAGGCCACACACCAAAAAATGCGAGGAGGCAAGGGAAAATGAGATGTGGTGGGATATAACAGAGAATAGAGAGATGTGTGTATAACACTAGAGGGCATGTGATTGATAAGCAAACAAGCGGTGAGAATGGCATCGCCCCAAAACTGTTTAGGGACATGCATATTAAACATCAGGGTGCAAGCAACATCTAGCAAATGGTGGTGTTTCCGCTCTGTAACACCATTCTGCGGGGATGTATGAGAACAACTAGTTTGATGAATAATACCATGAGCATCACAAAAGGTAGTTACAATAGATTGCACATATTCTAAGGCATTATCAGACTAAAATATCTTAATACGTTTGCCAAATTGAGTAAAGATTTCATTATAAAACTTAGAGATGATGGAAAGCAAATCAGATATTTGTTTTATTAAAAACAACCAAGTCATTCGAGATTAATCATCCACAAAAACAACAAAATACAAGAACCCATTAACAGTGGGAGTTCTAGAAGGACCCCAAATATCTGTATGGACAAGAGCAAAAGACTCAGACACACGACTAACACTACGACGAGGAAAAGAACTACGATGATGCTTCCCAAATTGGCAGGCTTCACACTCAATTTGAGAAACATGACTCAAACCCGGAACAACTAACTTGAGCTTGGCCAATGAAGGATGACCCAAGCGAAAATGCCACTGAAGAGGAGATACACTAGCACTCAACACAGCAGATGGAGGAGGAGGAGGGAGTTCACTAATAAAGTGGGACTTCTTCTTACCTCGTAAGAAAATTTTGACAGCGTGGGCCCAAGCCAAATAATTAGCACCATTCAATTTCTTTGTAGCGATAGGTTTAGGCATGTCATCATCCTTACCCATAGTTATAGCCTTAGCCTCAATCTCAACCATAATGATCAACCACACAAAATTCTCAACACGAGCACGAAAGGGCAAAATACTTGCAAACAACCAATACCCACACCAACAATCACCAATATAGACACAGAACTAGCTCAAAAACCAAAAATCCATAAAAAAAACAGGCAAAAGAGAGGAGAATACAGGTCTACCAACCAATTTTGGACCCAAATTAGACCAACACATCAACTCAACAGTAGCAATCAATAAAGAGAGGACAAATATCCCTTGCTAGAAGGATTTAGGGAAGTGAGCCTAGTAAGAAAAACAAAAAAAAAATAGTCCCAAAGGCAGATTCAAAAAAATAGTCCCAAAAACATGAAATACTTTTAAAAATTGAAAACTCACATCAGGGATGATCAAAAAATTCCACAAAAATCACCATAAATCTCAGGAGGCAATTTCTAGTCTAGGGGTGAAGGACCCATCCATACAGTGCTTACGTCATGCTGATGTCATCGTACGGCTGATGACATCAGCACGTCTCGGTCACCTCAGATCGATCTCTAGAATCTGTAGAAACCTTTCTGATGAAGAAGAGATTGCTCTGATACCAAGTTAGAATGTAAAAGAAAGAAATTAGGGTTGAAAGTTAGGAGGAAGAAGAAGAAGAGAGAGAACTTTTCGTATATATTGAAAAAATTATTCTGCCTCAACTTTACATCAGTCAAATATATATAAAAATCCTAAAGTAGCAATATGACCAGCGTACCCTCAACTTAAGTAAATATTAACAAGAGAACAAAAGAACAAAAATAACTAAAACAACTATTCTAACACACCCGATAATGGTTTTGAGCAACCAAACATACGATGTGAATCACAACGCGGTATAGAACGCGTTACCACTTAGACCCGCCAACTTTGGCGCATGGGCCAAACCTAAAAAATAGACCAAAGTTGAAGAAAAATCTGTTTTTTCCAAAATTTCTAAAACCCATTTCTAACAATTGTTTGACTATGCCATGGGTTCTTCCTGTGTGTCTCACAGGTTGCTAATCTTGAGGATAATTCATTTTAGTTACAGACTTAGGGCTTTAGGGTTTTGCATCTTAAAATTATTTCTCGTTATGATAACTGAGGTGTTAAGGTTCAAGTTGTGTGTATGTTCCAATCTGCATTGCCATGTACTTTTTAGGGATATGATATTTGTTAGGACTTTGTTTTGACAATCTTGTTTAATAATGCTTTCAATTTTAAATGATCTTTGTGATG